ATATTAGCAGCCCATTTGAATATAGGGAAATGATTTTGCTGGCTTAACGTGAAGATTTCTATTTCTCATGTTCCCATGTATTTTAAAACTCAAAATGTATGTTTTTCTTAAAACTTTCTTTTCATTATTTAAAACTGGAAAAGAACTACCCCCAAAAGTGCTTAAACGCATTAGTGTTGGGTAAATGTGTTTCATGTGCATATCCCTTCTCACTAGCTGTCTTCAACATAGCTCTTCTACAGAAAAAGAAAAAGTTATCAGATCTCATTCCATTTTCCTGCTCATTTACCCCTTGCATCTCTTTAACGGAAGGCTTGAGGTAGATGACAAAAACATTTTTTTAAAAAAACCCCAAATTGGTATTTGTTATTCAATAGAGCATAAATTCCCTTGGACAAGGAATTAATTGTTGTCATTGTATCCCTAGCACAGTGCCTGGCATATAATAAGTGCTTAATAGATGTTCATTGGATTTTATAGTTTTCATAGATCAAAGATATAGAGATGTTGAGATATGGAATTATACCTACCAAAATCATTAGTACAATGCTTCTTCTGGAACACTGCCCCCATTACTAGTTTTCTTACTGTTCCTTCCTTCATGAGGAACAATAGTGAGTGGATAATTAGTTGGCCTGGAAAAAATTACTAATTACTAACTTTATTTTTAAATGTTTATGTTAACCCCCAAACCTAAGAGTTACTAAACTATGACTGTTGCTACTAAATAGCAGTATTCAAATGATTCATGTTTATTACTTTTCTTCTTCACAGGTCTTTTGATGGATTTTCTAGTGCCCAAAAGAACCAGGAACAACTCTTGACATTAGCAAGCATTTTGAGAGAAGATGGAAAAGTTTTTGATGAAAAGGTTTACTACACTGCAGGCTATAACAGTCCTTCTCAATTGCTTAATAGACACAATGAGGTGTGGTTGATCAAGAAAAATGAACCTCCCAAAGACAACGAATAAAAAAAAAAAAGATCTGTTAAGGGCAAAAGTTCTGGTCAATGTAGACCTCAATACTACTGTTAAGCAAATTGCTAATCTAGTCTCTTCTATATAAGAACACTATCAACTGAGCTTTCTCATGTGCCTTTTCCAATGCCTGATGCTTCACTTTGCTTCAAGAATAGGGTGGCAGTTCACAATTCCCGCTAAAAACAACAAACTTTTAATTTGATTAATGGTGGTAGTCTTTCTTCTTTTCACCAGAGGGTCAGAGGAAATATCCATGGATGTACCTTTCTTCTTTTCTAATTTTAGTCTTTTTTTTTCTATCCTTGCTTCCATGGGTAGAACACTATCCTCTCTTCCACCAGTGAAATTCTTAAATATTTTACTATCTGTGGATAGTGCCAAGCTATCAGACCTGGAGGTCCTAAGTTCCCAATTGATAGAAGTTACTCAAGATCCTAAATTTCCCTAACTTCCCATCAAGTTATGGGATGGACAGCAAGAACTCTCTTTTCCATTGTTAGCTAATTTCCACCCACCCTCTGAAAGGGCTATTAGTTCATAAAAGTTGCAACCAAGAATAGGGTAAGTGTCTACGTTAGTGATTTCTAACCCTGCTTTTTTGACTCAGAGTATTCTATTTCAAAGAATGCCTCAATTATTTCAATTTAAGAATAAATCTTAATTCAATTTTTAAAAAAATCATGAATTATTTTTAGGAGGGAATAGTAAGGAATTCAAACAAATGCTGCAACATACAGCCTCCCCACCCCTGCTAGAAATCTTACCTTTTTTTAAGTTTACTGTTATAAACTTCAATGTCTTCTCTATCATCTGACAAAATGAAGTGATATGTGCTTCCTTAATGTTTAATGGACTTTAAAATGTGTGCATTTTTGCTCCATTTAACTATATCCTTATAGTTTTCTGATCATATAACTGCCCTTTGTTAATAAAATGATAATTTCAAGTATGACTTCTAGCTTTTGAGATTTATAGTTTCTGTTTGAAAACCCAGATCCTTATTTTCTAGAGGCATTTTATTTAGTTTGTAACATTTAATACTCCCTTATAATTTTTCAGTGTAAGTATCAGTTCACTGGCCAGGGAGAGCTAATGAAATTGCTTTTACTACTAGTTGGCACAGTGGATATAGTGGTGGGCCTGGAGTCAGAAAGACGAGTTCAAATCCGGATTCAAACACTCACTAGCTTATGACCCTGGACAGTCACTTAACCTCTGTTTTCCTCAATTTATTTCCTCATCTACAAAATGGGTATCATAATAGCACCTACTTCCCAGGGTTGTTTTGAGGATCAAATGAGATAATTGTAAAAAGCTCCTAGCACAGTGCTTGGCACAAAATAAGCACCATATAAATGTCAATTATAATTAGTATTTATTCCTAATAAACAGCAAGATCCTGTAAATTTGACATACAAGGGATCAGGGAAATATTGATTTTTTATTAACTACTTAGATAATCCAATTTAATATTGAATAGTGATGCCATCTACTATGTCAGCTTCCTAAAATGATTTAATCCAAACAGCATCCTGAGAAGCAAGGTTATAAGATATACTAAAGATTTTTGGTTCCCATGTCAATCTCTCCATGTTACCCAAATCTGTCCTCTTTTCCCCTTACTTATTAAAGACCCACTTCCTTCAGCCTATCCTGTCTGCCTCCACAGCAGATCATGGATAATTTTTTTTCACTTATTTTCTCATAATTTTTTCCTCAAATGGGAATAAGACATGAAGGGAGAGACTGTTTAAAGTAGGTAAGCTGCCTATAGCATAAGGTATAAGCAGAAATATCATAATTAGGAACTGATGGAGAGAATGAGAAAAAACAAGGAGACAGGTTATGTCAGTTATATCTCTTTGGTCTGCAGGTCTCTCTGTTCACCATACTTGGTTTTCACTTCCTTTGTATAGTCTTGCTTATGAGGCAGGTTATGCTATGCGGCTAAACAATTTTTACCAGGTCAAATTCTAGACATTAGATATGGAATCCATACTTGAACAAAAATATTATACTTCTGTTTGGCTAAAACAATGCTTTTCTACCTCATAAAACAGGAAAGTTTTCCTGTATCTTCTGTGAAGCATCTTACGAAGCCCTTGTGTGCTTCATCTCTGGAGCCTGTCACCTAGACAGTGATTATCCTTAAGTCATCCAAAGCATTTTTCCCCTCTCTTTAATAATGACTTCATCTTAGACTGCGTATGGATCAGAATAGGAGTTTGTGTTTGCACATGTGTGTGACAGGGTGAGAGGAAAAAAAGCATTCTCATTGTTGCCTTTTTCCTGCCACTGTAATTTACTGTGTCAGCTAATACTTTTAGTCCAAATGGTTAGCATAAATCCCACCAAAACATTCCCAATCTAATTGGAAGATTTTAAACACCATGCTAAACCCAGAATGGCACAAGGGTAGAAGGCTGAGCTTGGAGCCAGTGAAGATGTGAGAGAAAATACTATTTCAACCCTTGCAAGAGGGTGAACACTGGTAAGGTACTAGAAGTCTTTGAACCTATTTTCTTTTCCGTAAAGTGAGAATAATAGATCAGTAGTCCCTTAAAAGGTCATTGTAAGGAGCAAAAGAGGTAACATAAGTTAAATGTTTGGTAAACCCTGATCTGCTATGTAAATTATTCTTTGAAAGTAGTGGTTAGAGTAAAGAGGATGGATATACTATGAGATCAGTGATGTCTAGTAGACGCTATTATTCAACTGGTATATCAAATTCATTCTCAGCCCTTCTTGTAAAGCCTGATTATTTTCTGTTCTCTGTAGTTCAATGGGAAGGAACTTTCATGGCTGTAAGATCAATCTGTGACTATTTGGCATTTAAAGATGTTGATGCTGGAGGAAGGGGATGTCAGATTTGTCTTTGTCCAGTTTTACAGTTTCACTAAATCCACCAACAAAAAATTTTGGTATCCTCAAGATACCCAAGAACAATGCTAGAGAGAGGGTCTTAGAATATCTAGGAGAGGGTTAAGGACTACACCTGTGATTTCACAGGTAAAGAGAATTTCCAGGTTAGGAAACTATACCAAATGAGGTTGGCAGCTTCTCTGTAACCACAGTCAAAAGTAACTGCCTGGCATGTTGAGAGGTGGGAACCCAGGCCTTCCCAGCCCTACAGCCTCTATTTACCACACCATGATGCATTCTCAGCATACCTAGAATATTGATTAAACCCAGATCCTTGTTGTCCTCAATACTTGTAGAAAGCTCCTTGTTCTCAGCACAAGCAGCCAGGGAGGCCTGAATGCTTCCATATGTTATTTATATTTGTTATTCAGACTTCATAGGATTTTATTTGTTGTTCTTTCCCTTTTTTGTGGAATCTACCAGCCCAGTGTTTATGTCCATTTCTGGCTTCTCACTGTTGGGTTGCCTCCTCCCACTGGAACCTTCTGGTCTCAGTTGCTGTTATCTTTTTTTCATTCAAACAAAACATTTCATGAATGTATAAAACACAACTTGCCCCATTACCACACCATCATTGTGATCAACACACAATAGGAAGAAAATTTTAAAATATTACTTTACTTTGTTTTTATTAAAACAAGTTTAAATAGTGTATTTGTACAATTTTAGAAAAATCTGATAATCTCTTAATGAGGTTTGTTATCAACTTTACCTTCAAAGTAGGTAACTTATTTGTTGAGTAGTGGGTTTCAATATTCAAACATTTCTGATCTTACAGAAGATTGCATAAATTTTATCATACACAGGAATTGCTACTACCCTCTAAGAATTCTGTAGGACCCTTATGCCTTATGCAGAAACATCATAAAGCGCTTCTACTGTTGAATAATATCAGGTCCTGATGGCTTCCCAGCTTGAAATAAAACAATTCTACAACAGATAGAAGGAGCCTTGACACATCTTTCAGGCTGTTCTCAAAGATACATCATGTTTCCTGGTATGACTATGAAGTGCCTAGGGTAGAGATGTTGGATAGAGAGATGAAAAAAAAAAATTAGTGCAGATCTAGGAAGATACCTTCATATGAGAGACAAGATAACAATTGGCTGCCTCGTTTTATTTGAGCTAAGTATCACAGCATAGTCTTCTTGGATCCCTCTGCTAAAGAAGGCATTAGTGAAGGTCCTGAATTTACATGACTAACAAAGGTGTTCAAAGGACAGGGAGGATGGAAGAGGTAGGGGTCACAAGCATATTTCCCTAAAATAAATAAATCTACACACTTTTTCCCCTCACATACTAAAAATGGTTAAGTCCTAAGTTGGGGAAGATTAAAAATGTAATTAACAATCTCAGTTATTTACAGGCAATATAAAAACTGCACAAGCCAATTAATATAAAGTCTTTTGTTTTTCAATTTAAAAACTTCCTAGTATGACTCAAGTTCAGTTCAACATGCCATTTTCAGCCACTTTTTCTTTGCTAAGAAGAACTACTCAGTGTTTTCTTCCAAGTATCATTTTTTAACATACAAGACAATTAAGATAGACCCTTCTATATTATGAAAAATTTTTAAAGAATACTGCAGGCAGCTTAGAAAGAAACAGCCATAACTTCTTCTTTGGTATGACCAAAAGTTACCAAATATTGACTTTTCAAGTGATGAGAAACTGCCAAACAGAAACTGAATTCTGGCAAAAACAGAATTTTAAAAGGAAAATCTCCACCCACAGTTTTGTAGTGCAAGCTTTCAAATTTAATTTTGGAAATAATTGTATTTATAAACAGAAAATTCCAACTCTAGTAGTATGTCACTTACTCTGATTCCTCTTTTATTACCACTAAAGTATTTTTGCTTATCTACAATAAGTCATTTCAGTTTTCTCCAAGGTTCAAGGAGGAAATTCATTCAAAAACATACACATCCCTTCTAAAAATCAGACTGAAGGCTATGTGAGTAGGTGGCTGCATAGCAGCAGACACCAAGATTTAGTGGTGCCATTTTCACACACTTTTGTCATTTTTACAAAAAAAAAAAATCTTTTTTTTTTCCCCAGAAAAAAGTACCTGAACCAATGACTGCAGCCCTCTCCCAGCTTCTCTGGATTAACCATGACACGCTTAAACTCAAAAGCACACATGCATATATATTCATATGGTTTGGTTCCAGAATTAGCAATGCCACCACCTCTCACCAGCTGTGGACCCTTTCCTGCTTATGGAACTCACTAAATTTGATAAATATATCACAAAGCAACAACCATCTTGTGTCCCAGAAGCTTCCAGTTTACCTAGGTTGACCTCTTTGCTCCTATACTTTCTTACCCATTAAAAAAAAAGTCTCCCCAAATGCACATATACCCTTATGTCCCCAGGATCTAGGAAAAGTTTTCCCCAGAAAGGACTTTCAGAAGTTAAGGTTGTAATTGCTTTTAATCCAGAGGGTACAGATACCATGTAAGCCCTATATGACCTTCCTCTACCATGTAGAGCCAGCAATGATCTGGCATGCAGCACAAACACAGAGTGTAATCAACACTCAGCAAAGTGAAATCAACACTCAGCAAAGTGAATGGTACCAATCTGGGATTACTCCTGGTACCCATACCTCATTCCCTGTGCATATCATATGGAATACTAAGATGGAAAGTACATTCATCCTTGATGCCTAACTCTCTTCCCTTAAAGAACTTCTACACTGTCCTGATAAAGCCTGACTAACTGCCTTATCCTTTGCATCTAAATGGTTAGGAGCCTGGGCCCCCTTGGAGCCATGCTCTTCAGAATGGGGAAGTTCACTAGAGTCCATTTCATTCCCGGTAAATCCATCCGTTTCTTTCTCCCTCCCAACTCCTGAAGTCCGATGGATTCTGTTCTCTGTGGATTCCATTGCTTCTCCTTCTCCCTCAGAAATGACAGTCATGGGGCTGCTTTGAATTCGGTTCCTCATGCTATACCTGCTGCTTGCTGCAGAAGGTGGTGTCCGACTCCGGCCATACCTAGTGCCAGAGAAGGACAGACTCCTTGGCATCAGGCCTTCATTCTTGGCCCACTCCTCCTGGGCCCTCCTGTTCTTGTTTGGAGAGCAGCTTGAAGGGCTGTCAGGGGTGTCTGGTGAGGGCTCTGACCTGGATCTTTGAAACCTTGGGTCTGTATTCTTCAGCATCTCAGCTGCTGACATTCGAGAGCTGGCATCTGTCCGGCTCCCCTTTTTCAGCAGCAGAGCTTTGAAGTTATCACTGCTGGTACTACTCTTACGAATACTTCTCTGTATCGATCCTGCTTGTTTAAGGGAAGCCAGGCTGGGGGCAGCACCAGTGGGTGTTACTGGGGGTGATGGAGAATGGTTTCGGGAATGATCATCATCGGAATCCTTCCGGCCAAGGACTTTCCGTTTAGATCTGAAATGTAAGAACAAATGTTTTAAAATAAGTTATTCTACATGGGTCCACAAGGAAGTAATCAATAACAACACACTCTCAATCACTGAAGACTCAAGCTGTCATCTGAGTTCTTTTTTTTGATAATAATAATAGCAGACATATATGTACATATGAATACATATATATATAATGGTTTCATGGTTTACAAAATTTTCTGGTTTACAAAGTGTTTTAAATATACAGGGTGTCCCAGTTTTTTAAAAAACTGCAATAAGACTTTTGGGACACCCTGCATTATCTCAACTGATCCTTACCACAATCCTGTGAGGTAGGTGATAAGTATTATTATCCCTTTCTTACAGATGAGAACATTGAGGTTGAGTGAGATTAAGTTGATTTGCCCAGGCTAACAGTTAGCAAGTAGCGATGTTGGGATTCAGACACTGACTACAATTCCAGGTTTTTTGCACTAAATAACTTCCTTATAGAATTTATTAGACAATCGAACCTCACAGTAATACAATGCAAGTCACCTCATGCCTTTACATTATATCAATTCTTTCCTCCTGCAGTTCTTTTCCAGTTTGGTTCCCAGGACAGGACAGGCCTGGTATGTAATCTAGTCCTGAATTACCTTCCCTACCACAGTAGGGGCTCCTGGTAAAGCAGCTCTGCTTATGAAGGTACACGTTAGTCACAACACCTGCTGGTGGACCCGCCTGCCACAAGTCGCTCCCCATTCCAGTCCATCCTCTGCTCAGAGATGAAAGTGATCTTCCTATTGTGGAGGTCTGACCATGTTACCTCACTCCCTATTCAAAAAACCCCAGTGGCTCCCTATCTCCTCCAGGATCAAATAGAAAATCCTCTGTTCAGGATTCAAAGTTCTTTATAAGCTAGTCCCTTGCCCCAGCCTTTATGCCTCCTCCTCATATACTCTGTGATCCAGTGACACAGGCCTTGCTGTTCCTTGAATAAAATGCACCATCTCTAAGCTCCAGTCATTTTCACTAGCCGTCCCCTATGCTAGGAATGCCCTCTATCTCTGCCTCCTGGCTTCTCTGGCTTCCTCCAAGTCCCGAAGCCTTCTTGATTTACCTTTACTTCTAGTGCTTTCCCTTTGATGATTATTTCCCATCTATCCCTTACATAGCTTCTTTGCACGTAGTTGTTTGGGTGTTGTCTTCCTTAATAGACTGTGACCTCCTTGAGAAAAGAGATTGTGTTTTACCTTTCTTTGTATCCCCAATACAGAGCACAATGCCTAGCACACAGTAAGAACTTAATAAATGTTTACTGACTAACAAAAACTGAATTAGACTTCCTGAATTTCTAGAACCAAACCTACATCTCTAGGAAGCCAGTTCTTAGGACCAGAGATGTGAAATTATAGGACCATAGCAGAATTCAACACCTAACCTAAGAAACCTTAACTACCCTGGAGTGGATAGGGTACTAGAGATTTAAGGGGCATACAGGTAGAGGTGTGGACCAGAGGCATTCATTTCAAAGCTAGTTCATTAAAACTGGTTAATTTGTGCATAATCTTGTTTGGGTTTTCTCTTTGACCTTGGTTATTTATATGGACATGATTTCTATTTCTACTGGTGGAGAGAGACTATTAGCTGCCTTTTTGCCATTCTTCCTTAAATATCATTTCAACAATCCAATGCATAATTAAAGCCAAGTATATTTGTGTCTCAGTTTAAGCAAACCTAATATTGTTAAATCCCTTATAAGGCTGTTCCAACCAACCTGGTTTCATCCTTCCATTATTATAGTACATTATTACCAAACTCACTCTATAATGTTTAAAAAATAACTGACCTGTGTCATGTCATATTGCTTGATATTGTGTTTTCACCAAGAAGCAATTAACAATTTTAGGTACTGTGTGACTGAATTTTTTTTTAAATACAGATTTACAAAACAGATAAATCGAGGTAGTAGGGAATATAAAAGGATTTACTATGCTATTCCTCTAAGTTACTAGCTCCTCTGTGTTTCCAGTGCCTTAAAACAGGATCCAATTTAAAAAAAAGTTGTAACATGTTTTAGTAACATACTGACTGTGTAAATCAAGGATAGTTGTAATGTAATCCAAATGCAAGTTTGAAATACAGCATCAGGCAGGGAACTTAACCAGATGATCAAGAAGGTCCTTTAAACCCTAAAATTCCCAAACTAGGAAAGACAGATGTTTTGCTGCTGCAGGCTCTGTGGAACAGAAAGGAGGTGTGTAGAATTCATTGCTAGCTACAGGGATTTGGTGCTTATATAATATTCTCTCTAACATTGTTACCAGCCAAAGAGCTAGAAAATAGGGAGAGGAAAAGTAGCCCGGTGATAATCTAAAGTACATTGAAAAGCTTCAGAACTCTGATCGATGCCACTGGTTTATTATGATTTAAGGAGACTGATGATGAAGTATGTTGCCTACCTCTTAGTAGACTGGTGGTAGACTACAGGTATGTAATGAGGTTTACACTTTTTGACATTTCTCTGATTACATTAAGTGTTCAATGGTTTTGCTTAATTGTACTAATTTGTCACAATGGAAGGTTTTATTGGGGGAGAGAGAGAGATTTAGTCATTGGGAAATGAGAGTGATATAAAAAAAGAACTTCGATAAAACATCTTTTAAAGTGACTTGACCAGTGGGGTAGCAATTAAAAGACTGGCTGAATAGTGCCCAGGCATGGGAGTGTCACCAAGAATGGACTGACATGTCACCATTTGGAACTGCAGAAACTAACACTAAGGTTCATTTAATTGTAATGAATAAAGCACTGATTCAGGGGAGTGTTAGGTTTCGTTCAGGGTTCACTAATGGTCTACAAAGAATCTACAAGGTGATCCAAAGACCATTATTGAACCCTGAACCAAGCTTAAGACTTGCCTCCTGCCCCAGATCAATGCCTTATTTAAGACAATTAACCTGGGGTATGCAAATTTGTTCTTAATAAATATTTTATAACCATATTTTAATATGATTAGTTTCTTTTGTAATCCTATGTATTTTACTTTATGCACATTATTCTAAGAAAAAGTCTAAGGCTTTATCAGACTGCCAAAGACACAAAACAAGGTTAAGAACCCCTGCCTTCGATCATTAGGATTATAGGGCAACATCTTTCCATGAATTAATAACTAAACTACCTACTAACACATGCTTTCTCCATGGTCTCCTCAAAGTAGCGTCATTGTCCTTTGCTTTATTCTGGTGTCGATTTGTTATTTTCTATAAATGTTAAGTGGGTATGCAGACTAAATTAGTTTGAAAATCAAAGATCTCACTTTCTAGAGGCTTTTCTGTCCTGTCCAATGTACCTAACTTGTATCAAACAAGTATCCAGCAAAATCTAATCTGTCAATCAACAAATGTTTACTTAGGATATGCCACTCACTGGTATTTATAAGCACAATTAATATATGTATTTCAAAAAATACCTTGCTATTTTTATTGTAGAGAACTCTATTTTAAGAAAGATCATATTTCAATTTTCTTTACTCAAACAGTTTTTAAAATACAAACTATTTCAATATGGGATCTAGTTACAGCATTTCACTGTTGGCAGGAGTGCCAACTTTCCTTAACCCTTTCCTTAAAATTGTTCAGTCAGTTAATAGTCAGCAAGACTGGACTAAATTCTCTGTTCAGATTACATAATGTCATAAAATAAAGCACAGCTATATCTACTTTTGGTTTTTGTTTTTAATCACTGATTTAGATTAATGGTATAGTTGGAAACACACTGGAGTTGAAATACAAAGATTTGGGTTTGAGTCTTGACCTTGGCATGAGATCACAACTCTTAGAGCCTCAGTTTCCTTATCCATAAAATAGATATGATGTGTGCACAAGCTACTTTACATAGTTCTGAAAAAAGCATTTTGTAAATTGTAAAACCTTATACAAATGTGGGCTAAAAGGACTTAGGTTTTTTCCTAATATAATGCTTTACTTCTAATAGCAGAGATTGCTTACTGCCTAGACATTAATATTGCATCAATTTTTAAAGGCTAAAAATGTAATGCAATATTAGAATAGCCAATGTCTAACCATTCAAACTCAACAAAAAGATTAACATTGTATATGTGGTCTTTAAAAAACAAAATGGCTTTAAAAGCCTACTTAAGCAGCTAATATTGGCTTAGAAATTATTTGCTTCAATAAATGTGAAGAATTCACACCTCCTTGGGTGCTCTATTTTCCATCTGGCTTTAAATCTAAACTTGGTTGATATGCATTATGAAATTGCTATCTGAAGTCTGTGAGCTCAGAGAATCAATCTTTCTTTCCTTCTTTCTTTCCTTTTAATATGGAGTCTGGGTTCTGTTTCAAAAATATTAACTATTATATCCACATCATTTAGACGAATTCTTATTGGTCCTGCTGATAAATTACAACATGGATATGCTACTCATGAAGCTGACAAAACACATATTTGATTTTTTTTAATCACAAACTACACTAAGGATATATTTGGTCTTTTATTTAGGCATCAACAACATTTATGCAGGACATCAAATGCTTGTTTTCACATCTTCATACATGAGTGTATCATTAGGAAGAGAAAGATTCTATTTTGGTGTTTACTTAGGGCCAAGAAAACAATTGATAGGATCACAGATTAGAACTAGAATAGACTTTTTAGGTCATCTAGTCCAATTTCCTCTCTTCACAGATGAGCAAACTGAGACCCAGGATGATGACGTGATTTGTCTGAGGTCATATTGGTAGCAAGTGCTGGAATTTTAACTTCGGTCTGCAACAGGAAAACATGCCAGAGACTTATGCCAGCTTTTTAGGAAAAGTAACTATTTAACATGACATTAAAGGTCAGGTTTCCCCACTGAGTCCAAGCAATTTGTACTAGGGAAAAAAAAATCCAAATTAACAGGTCAAATTATAGCCTCTTAACTCTGGATCCAATGTTCTTTACAAGCTTGTGGGCTGGTTATTAGTGCCATTGGTTTTAGATTCAAGAGCATGCTTCTTTCCAGTTTCCCTGGTATTGGAGTTTGGTAATTAAAAAGAAGAGGAATGAAATGTTGAAGAGATAATTTTAGTACTGACTAGAATTTGTTGTTAATGGTTGAATAGGTAGAAGGTCTACGTTTGGATTGTAATCTCTTACCATGATTTTTTAAAACAGTTTTATTCACTAGCTTTAATGTATACAGAATATTATTTTGGTGTTCTCCAAAACTGGAATGTGTTTATATTATATAATGAATCTTGAATGTAGGCAGAATAGTACCTTTTATCCCATGCAATAGTCTTTTGAGCAAGAGATAGTTCATGTAATGTTATTTTACACACAGAAAACTGAATACATCTATTTGATATAAATTCCTTGTTCTCAGGCATAATAAGGTAATTCATGTGGGGTTACTAAAATCCTATGATATATATAAGGTCCTTAAGAGGCAAGAAAAATAATATATTGAATAAAATTTCAAGTCTAACTTGTATTTACTTCAAAAACTATATGCAATGACCCTGGGGGTGTGGGGTTTAAAACTGTCCAACCTACAATAAAAAAGACTGAGGCAGGAAAAAAAAAGTGTATGCAAAATGCATGCAAAAATTGAAGCACTTTTTAAAAAAAATCCCATATTATCAAAAAAAAAAACCTCTCTGAGTCCAGTAGATGGCACTATCAGTACACCTCAAAATCCACTTTTAACAAACTATGTTTTCTTTCTGTTTAAAAGACGTCTGCTTTTGTTGATATCTGCAAGTTACCTGAAAAAAATTGATTTTTGCACAAAACTAAAATTAAAGAATTGTAAGCTGTAGATGGGAAATAAATAATATACCAGAATACTAAGTTCATTCAAACCACAGGGCAACAAGACACTCATTCCACATCTCATCCTCAACTGGATTATGAGAATCTATAATCCAGCTCTTGTCATATATTTTGTCATATGACTGACAGTTGGTGTTACTTGCCAGTGTATGTCATGCTTGCCAGGAGGCATGTGTTGAATCTCTGTCCCAAACTGCACCATAAAAGCAGCAAAGAGTAAAGGAGTTGGAGGGAAAGAAGGAAATGGAAATAGAGACACAGACAAAATCAACAGTGAAGTTAGGCAAAGAATCACAAAATACATTGAAGAGAGAATCTCAAAATAAAATTTTAGATCATACAATTTATAGATAAATTAGATTACCAAAGCAAACTTTGTTTTTTGGATCACAAGAAATAAAACATAATCTTATTTTCTTGATTTACCAGTAATAGAGGAGATACATTAGTCAGAAATCTAAGCAGGATTCATGGATTTCAATTTTTTTTCCTAAGAATAAGCTGGGACATTTTTGGGAGCTGTCACAAGCACTTAAAAGGAAACAGTTTTTAGGTACCTGTGGATAGCTGCAAAAAGATCTTCTGTTGTCCTGGGTCTACTTGGGGTTGTCACCTCATCACCCCCATCTTCCTTAAGGCAAGGGGAGGTACACACCATGTCAGCCTCAAACACCCCACCTACAGAGGAGAAAGAATGCACATATTTAACATAGAAATGATTTGGAATTTCAGTCTTTAAGGAAATAATTTTCATTGCTACTCAAAAAATGCAAAACCCACAGGAGTACAGGCACTGTGGTTTACAGCATGATTTTCACTAAGAACAGAGGAAAAATGGTGAGGTGGGCCAGTTGAGGAGATAGCATGACAGGCATTAATTCCCATGCTTTTTTCTGTTGAATGATATAAAACTCCACAGAACTCTAATGCCTCATTTAAATATATTTTTTTTAATTTTATAACTATTATTTAGATAAAACACAAAAATGCTTTATGTAGCCTCCTATTCCCTACTTAATCGCTTTGATTGAGGTTGTTTTTAATCTAATTTTTTTCAAAAAAAAAAAAAAATTAGATGCCTCTTCAGGGCACTGTAGGAACTCACCTAGACACTATATTGAATATTTCAATGTAATCTCACGTCCCTCAGTCCTAGGTCTAAAAGTCCCAAACTCAGTTGAGTTCAACTCCACATTGGCAAAGAGAAGAACAAAAAGAAACAAGACTTACTGTTTCCATCGTCTCGAGAGAGGGGACTGCCCACGTTACCACCACGATCTTCACTGCTCTCTATTCTGCTGCCTTCATCTGAAGTGCTTGGCTCCTCCTGCTTAGGAGCTCCTTGAGCTGGTGATGCACCAGGCTGTACCATATAGACATCCGCTTCCACTGCTGCAAGGAAGGTGGATCCCGCAGCTCCTCCCTCTGGCACCAAGCTCTCAAAGTCTGTCTCAGCAGAACCAGGTCCTCCTGCAGAACCCTCTTTTGCCTCTTTGCCATTCATATCAACTACCTCTCCCCTGGCTGGGCTGCTGACACTTTCATTCATGTTGGTTGTTTTCTCTGCTGTGAAATCTATGTGCGGAGGTGGCACGACAAGGAACAGTTTGGGTTTCTTTGAAATAGGAGGTGGTTTCCTACTGGGTGAGGAGCCATGTGTCTCTTTTGGAGAGCTGGGCTGCTCCTGGAGCAATGCAGTCCTGGGGCCAGGAGATTCCTCATCCTGCCCAGAAGTCTGCACTCCTTCCTCAGCATTTGTTCCTGCAAAGGACGCTCCAGAACATGGTACGGCATGAGCCGCATCTCCATGTCTTTGAAGGGTGACAAGCTCAGCTGCCCTGCTGTGCTGACCCCAACATGAGCCCTTTGCAGGAGCTGCAAGCGTGTTTTTAAAAGGGACATTCTGGTCTTTGCTGCTGTCCGCTCCATTGATGCTCTCTCTGTGTTTCAAGGCAGAAGATGGTTTTAAAGGTCCCTGTGGAACCACAGAATTATTTTCCTGAGATTCTGTTTCAGAAGCTGGTTTGCCTGGCTGTGCTCCTGATGTTCCTGGGGGCTTTTTCACAGGCCTCAACCGTACCATCTGTAATGCTTTAGTGGTTATTAGGGGTATTGGTGGTTTAGTGGTTTCTTCCTTGGTGAGAGGCTGTTTAAAGACAGCACAAGAAGAATCTTGCTGGCTACACTTTTTTAAAGAAGGCCAAGTTTCTTTCATCAACTTGGGGTCAAGAGGTGGAGCAGGTGGAGGAACTGAAGAGGGAAAGAGAGATGAAGGAGGAGGTGGAGGCCAGGAAGCAGGTGAATCTGGCACACTCAAGGATGTGGGGGGAAGAGGAAAGCATGTATCAGCTGGAAGGAAGGAAGAAGCAAGGGCTTCTGGGGGTGGAGGAGGGAAAAGAGGGGAGTGTTGTACAGTAGATGGCTCCAAGGTATCTGCTAAAGGAGGAGGAGGAAGAGGAAGAGGGGAGTGATCAAGAGCATGTACAGATGTTGGGGAAAGAGGAGGGATGGAAGGTGTGCCGATGGCCGAATCTAACTTCTTCATATTCACACTGCCTTCAGTTGAAGTATTAGAAGAAAGAGAAGTTGAAGATGAAGATATGGATACTGAAGATATCAGAGAGGATTTTCTTTCAGGCACTTTGGGCTTCAACTTTGATTTTCCGTTTCCTGGCGAGATGGATTTTAAAAACACAGGCACGGGGGTAAGCGCAGTAGGGGTATTCGACTGACTGGAATAGCCGCTAGATGGGGAAGTGACCCTGTGAGACTTCTCTGGGGACATGTTCTTTGGTTTGGCCAGTCCACTAGACACCTGTGGAATACCTGGTGCTCTGGATCCATCCTGGAGATGGCTGGTGGAAAAATCACCCAAAGGGACAACAGCATTAGGTGGACATGTTCCACTGGGTTTCCCCGGATTTTCCTGCATGCCTGTGCAGTCAATGTAATAACCCCAAGGATCGCCATACTCTGACTTGACACTGCTCGTGTCACTCTGAGACGGTGTGACTGCACAGAGGGAGTACACATTTGGTGCTGTGGCTGATACCATGCTGCTGCTTGTGCTGACTGTGCTCTGGCTACGGGAACGGAGGAGCCACGGTTCCTCGTAATCGCTACAGGGGCTCTGGGAAGGGGAGCTACTATCTTTACGCTGCAGATTTAATTGCAGAGAATGTTGGAGGGTAGCAATCAAAGTCTCATTGAGCACCTGCCCATTGGGCTGGGTTTTTTTCTTGGGGGACCTTCGAAGGGAGTCTGTTCTGAAAGGTGGAAGGGGAGGTTTCTTCGCTTTCTTTAAGGAAATGTTTCGTGGCAGAGATTTATCACAGTGTTGTGACCGGTCACTTGGGTTTTTCTGGGCATTACCATCAAAAACATTAATCTCACTGTGCCTGGGATTCCCAAAGCCATCACTGCTATTGCACAGATTTCCTGATTTGAGTCCAGAGTCCATATGCATGGAAGTGTAGAAGCCATCATGGTCTACTGAGTAGACAGAACTTGCATCCTCTTTGACTGAGGCTCGGTCTAAACTACTGCTGCTCATGTTACTAGCAGGAGTAGAGTAGCCAGGAGTAATACAACATGGCTTGTGTAGGGATGCCCTCTCATTACATGAGGCTTTATATTCCCAGGACTCTATGCTACCATGTGCTCTATCACCTGGATAACTGGACTCACTCTTGCCATCACTATCCTGGAAATGGCTTAGAAAATTCAAGTTGTTTCTGCAGTTATAGGCAACATTTTGGGACCCATTCTCCTTGCTCCCTGGAGTGTTCAGAGAGACATCTGAGTCACAGAGGGATGTCATCATGGCTACATTGCTGGTCTGTGAATGTCGTGTAGAGCTATTCTCACTCCAGTTACCACTGGAAGACTGGTGATCATCTTTTATGGCACTGCTGGTGGCAAGATTGTCTCTGGACTTCATTGTCTTTGCATAAGATAATGAGCTGGTGATTTTGCTGTCCAACTGTCCAGTATTCTGGACTGTGTGAATAGCAACAACCTCTGATGATGAAGAAATTGTGGCATTTGCTATGAGGCTGGTAGAGTAGGTTGCATAAGGAGAAACAACACAAGCTGGGCTTGTTTTTTCACTTTCATGATGCCTCAACTCCTCAGATTTGGGCCTTGATAACATCCCAAGCCTTGACATACATCTCACATGCTCAAGGCCCTCATCAACTTGCAGCTTACCTGTCTGGTAGGAAAGAATACTAGCCAAGTCCTCTGCAGGGTTAACAACACCTTGTGGTGTCTCTAGTGGCTGAAGGGACACCCTTGTTCCAGGACGAGGAAGGCTATGGAAACCTCCATCATTGTGGAGGCGTGGAGGAAAAACAACGCCTGCAGAATCACTCATCACTGACATGTTCCCTGATGAGATGGAGAACTGGCTCATCTGGGCAGCAATACCTTGCCCCTTTTGGGCCCTGATTCTTCTCATTGAAGGGGGCACAACTTTTACTTCATCAGTCTGACAACTGGAATCCCTGGTTTCAGAACGCTGAACAACAGATCGATAGTTGTCAAGCCTTCCTAGTGTGGAGCAGTGGTCTGGGACATACATTGAGTGACCACGGAAGTCATTCTGGCTAGTGCCAGTAGCTGGAGATAAAGCAGAAAAACAGTTATTACCTGAAAACAAAATGATAATTTGATTCATCACCTTTCCCCTGACACACATACAATACAAAAGCTATTTGCCCTGATTCTTGGGCAATTTAACAAAATATCCTCTTTTTCTTTTAATTTTATTTTTTTCTCCTCTTCCATTGACATTTAAAGCAATTCAAGTATCTGCTGGCAATTGCAGGAGGGTAAAAAAGCTCATCATGCAGTTAGGTCTCTCTTTTCCTTTATTTTTATATTCTCTGACAGACTAAGTACTATGTTCAGATCTCAGAAACTAAAGCCCCTTAAACTCTATGAAGACAGTAAATATCTCACAGATGACTTAAAAAACCCAAACCAAAAAACAAAACAAAACAAAACAAAAACAACAAAAAAAACCTTAGGTCTGTTTCTAGACCTCCAAGACAAAGAAAATTACTTTTCTCTCCATGGCTACAGACAGGGTGGCTTTTGGTCTGTGATCTTCATTCCCAGAAGTGACTACATGTCAGTGGTTGAGCCATAATTGATTATTTAGATGCCATTTGTGAAGCATATTGGCATGAATAGTGTTAATACCACTAATATTTTATGTAAAAAGGCATTCCAGAGGAAAAGAAATGTGATTTACAGACCCATCTGTGTTTTAAACATTTTCTTCTCCATCTTAAGCTATAATCATCTGTTGGTGACATTCAAAATTTCAATAGCAATCTGTTGTGCTATGGACAGAAAGAAGTGACTTCTGGTGGGGCATAAGGAATAGGAATAGATGAAATCTTGCCAAGCAAAGTTCTGATCCAGTGAAAAATTCTTCAAATTGTCATTATTTCTTGGAGCTATACATCAAACAGAACATAAATGTATTCTACAACTAAAAACAAGGAAGGAAGCAAAGAGAGTGTGAGGAAGGAGTAAGAATAAGTAGAGCTAAACATAAAGCTTTCCAGTTTCCAAGGAAAGACTAGCAACTTAAAAAAAATTTGGGGAGTCAGGAACTTTGCCAAAGAGAAACGAAGAAGTTAAATAATGCATAGCAATCACTAAGATAAAATAAATAGGGAAGAAACTCACCACAGTAAGAAATAAATGTTCCTTTCCATTCTGTATTACTGTCTGAGCAAGAATCTTATAGAATTGGTACCAACAGTAACCACTCTCTTGTATGATGTCAATTCAAATGACATAGTATTAGCTATGACTTAAATAATCATTCATCCATTTTTTCATCTCTGATTTGGAATAGCTCAAAGTGCTCTTCTGTCATCACTTCCGCTTTGCTCCATTTCCACTGTCATTAGGTTGTATCTATCTTGGATTCAAAATCCTAAAAATTTCCCCAGCTATAGAAGGGTTATATCAATATGTTAATAGGAAGTTTGTATCAATAGTATGCTAGGTGTTACATGGGGGAAAAAAAAACTTGCACACAGTACCAACCCAATGTGCTAAGTTTCTTTTCTCCTACCATGATACTGTGAAAAATTTTTATCTTTGGTTCTCTCCAGAGGAATGAAAAGAACATGCATATATCCTATTGGAACTGAGATATGGTCAGAAAACATATCATTTGTCTTTCCTAGGAAATGGTCACCAGTGTCGAAACAAGAAAAATGTCACCCATTCTTGGCAAGAGGGAATGAAAGAGAAAGGGATCATCTACTTAATTGGAAAATGATGATGATAGTGACTGTGTGAACTTTAAACTACACATGTTTAAACTTCCAGTCATCAAAGCAAAGTAATACCCTATTTCCACCAAAAATTAACATTTGGGGTAGATGGTTTTTTGCCAGCATTTTAGATATCTTTGAATTGTCAACAATAAACTGTATAGGGTATTTGCCTTCAAAAGCATTTAGAAATAGGAAAGTAACTATTTACAAGTGGAAGTAAAAGATATTCTATATTGTTTCAGGCATTAATTCTAAAGCCAAATTCAACTTTAGTTTTTCAAAATAGTAGTAAAATCAATTATAAACATATATGACCAAAACTATACTTGTGATATGATGGTGCCAGGATTAATTATTTTGTTATACCAAGAATATATTCTACTCATCTGAGAATCAGGAAATATACGAGTAAATATTTTTGGAAAGTCTATATAGATCTTTAGAAAAGTTCTCTCATGCCAATTATAATATAAATGACTCCAAATGTTCTTGAATTTTAATAAGAGAAGAAAAAGACATTGAAGGCAATAGGATAGGCAAAGAAGAAACAAAGCTATCACTCTTTGCAGATGACATGATGTTGTACTTAGAGAATCCCAGAGAATCAAATAAAAAACTACTTGAAATAATAAACAACTTTAGCAAAGTTGCGGGCTATAAAATAAACCCACATAAATCATCGGCATTTCTATGTATTACCAACAAAGCCCAACAGCAATAGATAGAAAGAGAAACTCCATTTAAACTTACTGTAGACATTATAAAATATTTAGGAGTCTACCTCCCGAAACAAACCCAGGAACTCTATGAACACAATTACAAAACACTTTCCATGCAAATAAAATCAGAACTAAATAATTGGAAAAACATCAGTTGCTCATGGGTAGGTCGAGCTAATATAATAAAAATGACAATTCTACCTAAGCTAATTTAGTTATTCAGTGCCATACAATTAAACTATCAAAAAAATTATTTTATAGTTAGAAAAAATAATAACAAGATCCATTTGGAAGAACAAAAGGTCCAGAATATCAAGAGAACTAATGAAAAGAAATGCAGGGGAAGGTGGCCTAGCCATTCCAGATGTTAAATTGTATTATAAAGCAGTAATCATCAAAACTGCTTGGTACTGGCTAAGAAATAGAGTGGTGGATCAGTGGAATAGGTTAAATATGCAAGGCACAGTAGTCAATGACTATAGTAATCTATTATTTGATAAACCCAAAGACCCCAGCTTCTGGGATAAGAACCCACTCTTTGAAAAAAACTGCTGGGAAAACTGGAAAAGAGTATAGCAGAAACTAGGCATAGACCAAAATCTCACACCATATACCAAAATAAAGTCAAAATGGGTACATGATTTAGATATAAAGGCTGATACTATAAGCAAACTGGGAGAGCAAGGAATAGTTTACCTGTCAGATCTATGGAGAACAGAAGAATTCATGACCAAACAGGAGATACAGAACATTACGAAAAGCAAAATAGATAATTTTGATTACATTAAATTGAAAAGTTTTTGCACAAAGCCAATGCAACTAAGATTAGAAGGAAGGTAGAAAATTGGGAAAGAATTTTTACAACCAGTCTCTCTGATAAAGGCCTCATTTCTAAAATATATAGAGAATTAAGTCAAATTTATGAGAACACAAGCCATTCCCCAATTGATAAGTGGTCAAAAGATATGAATAGACAGTTCTCAGATGAAGAAATTAAAGCCATCTGTAGTCATATGAAAAAATGCTCTAAATCACTATTGATTAGAGAAATGCAAATCAAAACAACTCTGAGGTACCACATCACACCTATCAGAATGGCCAACATGACAAAACAGGAAAATGATAAATGTTGGAGAAGATGTGGGAAAATTGGAACACTAATGCATTGTTAGTGGAGTTGTGAAATGATCCAACCATTTTTGAGAGCAATTGGGAACTATGCCCAAAGGGTTATAAAAACGTGCATACCCTTTGACCCAGCAATAGCACTTCTAGGGCTATATCCCAAAGAGATCACACAAATGGGAAAAGGACCAACATGTACAAAAATATTCATAGCAGCTCTTTTTGTGGTGGCAAAGAATTGGAAATTGAGAGGATGCCCATCAATTGGGGAATGGCTGAGCAAGTTGTGGTATATGAATGTGATGGAATACTATTGTGCTATAAGAAATAACAGGCTGACTTCAGAAAAACCTGGAAAGACTTGTATGGTCTGATGCTGAGTGAAGTGAGCAGAACCAAGAGAACGTTGCACACAATAACAGCCACGTTGTGTGATGACTAATATTGATAAACTTAACTCTTCATAGCAATACAAGGATCTAAGACATCTCCAGAGGCCTTGTGATGCAAAATGCTATCCACACCCAAAGAAAGAACTATGGAAGCTGAATTGTTATTCTTTTTCTCTTCTGTTGAGTTTTGTTTCCTCTTTCTGATGGTTTCTCCTATTGGTTTTAATTTCTACTTACAACATCACTAATGTGAAAATATGTTTAATATGAATGTAAATGTATAGTCTATATCAGATTGTGTGCCGTCCTGGGGAAGGTGATGGGGAGGAAGGGGGAGAAAAATTTTAAACTCAAAAGCATATGGAAGTGATTATTGATAAATCAAAATAAATTAATTTAAAAAAATGTTCCTGAATTTTGATCTGGAGCTGCCTCTACATTCAGGAAATGTACCGAGGAGGAGGGAAAAAATGGCTCTAATTTTTTAATAGGGATAAAGATTGGACCTGTGATTTCACTGGTGAAGAAAACTCTCTACCCATGCAAGTGGGCACCATCTCTGCAATGTATATAGTGTTAGAATTGCCTAGAGCAGAGGTGTCAAATGTGCAGTCCACAACACTGCTGAGTGTGGCCTGAACCAGATTAAAATGTAAGTAGGAAATATTTAACAAAATAAATAAAAAGAACAATAAAATGGAGATAATATTAATATGTGGTTTTCTAAGACAATATGATGCTCACAGAGATCCTTATGCATTCTTTAGTGGCTCCTGTTTCTATTTTGAGTTTGACACCACTGAAATATAGCATACAGAGGTTATGTGACTTATCCAGGGTCACAAGGGGTCAGAAGTGGGCCTGGTCTTCCTGGCTTTGAGGCCAGTTTTTTCTCCTCTATTCGACATTGCCTTTTCTAATTTTAAAAAGGAAAATTAAAATATAATGTAATTTTTAAAATTCCTTAATCAACTAACACTTGGAAGATAGCTGATACCACACTAAAGAGGTAAAATCTTAAATGGGATAACCAAGGTTCAACTGAAATTTAATATGGTTTTAAAGATGTTAAATGGAAATAAGTCATCTTTTCCCCCCTTTCTTGTTTAGCCTTTTTTCTTTTTAAAACTAGGTAATTGATTCACAGATGAAATAATATCAGTTCTAGGTATGTTTTGCAGGGGAAAAAATAGTAGTTAATAACCTAGTTTTAAAAAGTGTGATGTCTCTTCAAAAGCTTATTTACACGATTTACAACATACTGTACACATACTCTGATATTTAATATACTTCCTACTCTATCATGTGAGAAATTAAGGTTTTGACTCAGATTCAAAAAGCTCAAATCTGTCAGCTACTCAATAGGTATTTAGAAAGCACATCACTTAGATCATGAGTTTGGAGGTATTAAAATGAAGTATTTTTTCTTAGTGACTGTCTTAAACATCTTTATTTACCTAAGATATTTTGCTATACATTTCTCTTACCTGTCTCACATCTAGAGATTATTCTTGATTATTCAAGGGATATGTGAACAAAGATATTTTTGAAAATGAAAAACTTTAAAATTCAGAGCTTCAAAACCTAAGTGCCTATAGTGTAAGCCAATAAAGAGAAATAAATAGCCAAAGCCAACAGGAATGAGAAACCTTTTGATTATCTTAGCCATTGCTAAATTTTGCTCTGCTAGAAAAAGAAAATTATCTAGATATCTATTCCCACACTCCCACTGTCAAACTCTCCAGTTAGCCTACTTACCCCAGGAGAGAAACTAGACAGAGCAGATGTCTCTTCTAAGGGAAATGAGTAAGCTTTTATAGTCTTAGTTGACCTCTGGCTGTTATAATGCTTCTTCTTCAACCACAGTTTCACTGTAAAGCTCAATGTTTTTGGGGCATGACAATCCTCACGCCTCCTAGCAGCTGTTCACAGAATCTCAGAGTTGGACAGAACATGACATGCTATCTAACCCAACTCTTACATGACAAGAATCTCCTCTGTAATTTAGCCAATACATGGCTTTCCAGCTTGTGCTTGAAGACATCCAGTGAGCAGGAACATGCTACTTGCGGAGAAAGCCCATTCCACTTTTAGATGGTTCTAATTATTACAAAGATTTTGGGGGTTTTTCCTTCTTATAGCAATCCTAAATTTGCTTCTTTGCAACTTTCATCCATAATCCTTAGTACATTAAACTTGGTGCTTGCCATTCAGTCCTACAAGGCTTGATTCCAAGGAGAAATGAGCCTGGGCACCCAGACACCATTCCTTCATTGAAAGGACACAATGTAATTACTGGAACATAGGCTGCATCATGAACCAACAATATTGTTCCATCACAGCGGCCCCACAGGACAAAAGGAAGAACCGAACAATGATTTATGGTGTTACTCAGTTCGATGCTATGTACTCAGATATTCGTGACAAATTCCATACCTGTAAACTCTGAACTGTAGATCACACACACACACACACACCCACACACACTTAACAAAATTCTCCCTGTATCTCAACCTTAATATTTCTATGTATGATACACAGGATACTTGGCCTCAATTGAGAAGAAAAGCACTGTATTTGGAGTCAAAGGACTTCAGCTGGATTCCCAACTTGCGATTTACTTCCTGGATGTCTTTGGAGGCAAGTAACTTAGACATTGAGCTTCAGTTTATTTATAGGCTCCCAAAGCGGGCTATGCTGCCCCCTGGGGGGCACTAGAATGATGATGGGGGGGCAGCAGTAGCCTCAGGTGCATTTGGAGGGTGTTGAATAAAAATAAAGGGGCAGTGGAAGCATAAAGAGAGGAAAAATTTGAAAAATCATTCATATATGTTTCATTTGTTCTATAACAGAATTAAAATTGTAGTGATTACATTATTTTCCAAATAAACACACAAAATGCAAATTATAATCAATCAATGGTCAAGTCCACTGACAGGTCTTAAAAAGCAAGTATTGGCAGGTGAGCGAAGAGCATATTGTTGAGAAGTCCAGCAGGCATAGGCAGGAATATGTGCATGTAATGACTTATTTACAATATGATACTATACTTACATGATGAAATATTGCATCATCAAAATTTCAATGCAAGGAAAAAAGCACAAATTTACAACAAATTATTAAATTTAAGATGTGTCATTTTAACAAATACATATTTTATTATATTTTTGAAATGATGCAAATTTTGAAAAAAAAATATTAAAGGGTTAAAGAAAGTAGATTTCAGGCAGGGGAGCACTAAATAATTTTTTTCAAAAGGGGGCAATAGGCTAAATAAGTTTTGGAACCTCAGTTTATTCATCTATAAAATGAAGGGGTTTGTACTGTGTGACCTCTGAAGCTACAGGTTTTGTGAGTACGAGTAGGTAGCTACCTATATGGTATGACTTGATGACAACTGAAAACCCAGACCATCCAAGAAATTCCTCCCATTCATTTGCCAAAGAACCTGAATTTTCCATTGTTTATTGAATCCTACTCTGATGTTTCATCAGAGCTTAAAGGTACTATTTGGGCAAGAATACAAGCTCTGGCAGGTCCTAAACCAGTCTAGAAAGGCTTGAAGCATTAGTTCCACAACAGATTATTTGTTGCCCACTGAATTCATAGAATACAGCAATTGAAACCAAAACCAACAAGAGCACCAGCTCCACCACCACCACCACCACTACCACCACCTCCACCACCATAGGATCATTATCCTGCATTACTGACTCATTCTGCATGTGATCTCTAAGGACTAAATGGATGCTTTCTTATTAGTAGGATTTTCTCCCCTTACTAAGAATGTTCTTTTAAGTCTTGTCAAATGTCTTCTTGTGATGATTCAATAAATATTATAAATGCAGGGGAGGGTGGCAGAGCCCATGAGTTTTCTGATGACTATCTGCTAAGGCATGAATTGCTGAAATCTGTATCAAGTGGAGGCAATATGCAATATGTTAGATTTGGGATAGTAGGTTATAAGGTCTTCTCCAGAAATCATCTGATAAAATCCAAATGCTTTTCTGAGAGTAACAAATTATCCCATTTGCATTCCAGATTTGTTTGCCATTGCCTAGTAGGGAGTGAGTTCCTTAAAGAGTGGGCAGATAAAATTTTGATGAGAAAGGTACAAGTGTCCTCGAGAGGGTAAGCCTGGCAAGGGTGTTACAATATCTACCCTAGTCAGAATAAGGTCCCTGAGGAAAAGGGTAGAAAGCAATTAAATAGACTGTGGTACACTAAAATAGGAGGTATGATAGGAATAAAACAGAGATGTTAAAGATGAATATCACTCATTTCACACTTTTGTGGGTGGTTGGCCTTTCTTCTATGCCTGAATTCCCCTCCCATTATGAGAAAAGAGCATTGTTTACCTCTGTTGTGATTTTTCACCAAATCATGCAGATTTGGGTTAGTATAGCCATGTTTTTGCTGTCTAGAAGATAAAGCAGCAAAATATGTCTTTGAATGTTGTTGGGGGGGGCAAAGCAGAGCTTATGCACTTCAGGAATTGAAGAAAGGGTCAAATAAAAGGGCGGGAAAAGAGCTATATCACACTGAATGTATTATTGTATTGTGGCTATATTAACTCCAGTTCTTTCAGACCCTCATTTTTTTACTGGCAGAAACCAGTTTCATGATCTTGGATATAGAGAAGACATAGAATGCATGCTATAGCAGAGCTATTTGTTGCCATGATAAAATTGGGGACAACAAAGTATTAAGCAAATGTAGAGCAACTCTTATGAGTAATTTCTTATGAATGAGTAATTTTTATGAATTTACATTTGCCTTAAAAGGAAAGAAAATTATTTCCAAAGCATGAAACTTAAAGAAAAAATATCCACAGGGAAAAGAGTTAAGAATTAGGAAAACTAGAACTATTTTGATATTCCTAGAGTCCTGAATAAATCACTTTCTGAGACAGCATTACAGAAAATAAGATTAGAGTTGTTCTAAACATGAAGGAGAAAATAAAAATTATACCCAAGACATTTTGGAAAAATGTAGAAATGAAAAAAAGAGGTCAAAAGCCCTCACAAACTTTTACTATAGGATAAAGAAGATAATGTTAGTTAAAAAAAACTTATAACTATCCTAAAGGCAAATTATTAAATGTTGATAACTGTTTTCATGGATGCTGCTGCTGGCAAATAATTCCACTGAGGTAGTTAGTATGTGAAATATAATCAATGTGTTCTCTAAATTATTCTCAAACTAAGTTTTGAATATGTCTTATTGGACACAAAATTTCAACACCATTGCCAAGTTATCTGATTACAGTCCTTTCTCATCTGAAGATTTGAATTTTAAATTAAGTGAAAGGTTAACTCCTGAATAAGTACACCTGTGAGAATATTCAAACTCCCAGGAATACAATTCACAGAGTTGCCATGAGGAAAATGCTTTATAAAACTTTAAAGCACCAGCTGCTGTACAGATAAATTTCTACAATCCCAGTTCAGATTAGAAATACTCTCCCCTCTGTCCACCACCTCACCCAAATTCACCAAGCTAGTCATGGATTAAGTTTGCTTCAAAGGGCCTCATGTAGGAAAAATCACAACAGGCCATCAGACTGTATTGGTTTTATGAGCATGAGTAAATGGGATTAGTTTAGTAATAACAGGCAGTGAGGATGAAGAGCAATGAAATACAGTTCTGATGAGCCATACCTAGCTCCTTTTGTATGTTGTCAGGGATTCCTGTAATAGTCTTTCTCCTTTTGACTTTCTTCGGCCGTCTTACGACAGTGTCTGTGTAAATTAGAGACCGCCGAAGGCTGGCCTGGCGGTCGAAATTCTCCCCTAATGTAGAGTAGTGGAACAAGCAAAGCAAAGTTAATTTGAAGCACGCTGACACCATGCACTTTCTTCCAGTAGCTTGTTGTAGAAATGAAAAAAGGCATTAATAATGATGTTAGCTCAGTCATATGATGAGGATGTTGGCTTAAGGGGAAAAAAAGAGAAATAAAGCACACTATCACACCAAGGCTGGCTTCCACACTTTCAATACCCGTATACTTCCCAAAGTAGCAAAACCACAAAGTATCTCCCAGCTACTTTCCAAACACAGAGCAAGACAGCAGCAAATGTCTTTCTATCACATTTAAAGTTAGAAGAGGGTTACCATATTATCTAGAAAGGGATCCCTTGTTATTGAGTTGCTTTATGTGGTTCCAATAGTTTGTATAACTATCCATTCCTTTTGTAATTTTCCAAAATTGTAATCTCCATGAAGACTGAAAGACCTTTACATACTCCTTACCATGACTAGCATATTGCCTCACACATAGTAAGTATGTCATAAATGAGCAAATGAATGTCCCAATGGATAACTGGTGTAAATATAGCAATTTTTATGATAGCCAAAAACATCCATTGGAACCAATAAAAAGTCATATAATGATAGAGTGATTTTCCCCAATGAGACCCAGGAACACTGCTGGATGTAGTTAGAGCTGAAAAAACTGATAACAGTACAGCCATTTAGGCTCATGTCATATTTAAAAATGCTAATGGTAAACCCATATGACTTTCTAGGGCTTAAGTTTGTGTAACTGCCATTTTTTTGAGCTGTCAAAAATCACCTCCCCCTCTAAAAAAAATACAGTTCTTTCAGAACAAACTTTTTTCTATTGGCCAAATTATTTTCTTTTGAAAACTGAGCATTAGATATAAATACTGGTTATATCCATCTACTATTATCATTATAAAGCAGAGAAATTGTGAGAGTTCAAAACACTCAAAGCAATTACGTTTTTTTAAAAATAATAACAATAATATATAAGAATAACAATAGCTAACATTTATATAGTACTTACTATGTTCCAGGCACTGTGCTAAGCACTGAACAAACATCACCTCATACCATCCTTACCACATCCCTGGGAGATAGGTGCTATTATTTTTCCCATTTACAGTTGAGGAACCTGAGGCAAGCAGAGGTTAACTGACTTGCCCAGGGTCACACAGCTAGCAAGTATCTAAGGCTGGATTTGAACTTACATCATCCTGACTCTAGGCACTACTGTATCACCTAACAGCAATTACAAAATCTGTAAATCTCTTATAAAAAGAGATTTATTAAAAATGTAAAGTTCAAGTGATCTCATAAAAATTGAATACAAAAAAAAAAAAAGAAACTTAGAAGGAAAGCAGATTAACTGCCTATATGCAGTACAGTTATTTTCCAGGAGTTTTGTCATTAAATTTGGTCCTGGTAGAGAAAGGTAAGATGTGTTAAGAAGAGAAGGCCCTGTAATATTGGAATATACCAGGACTTAATTTTGCCTAAAGAAACACTACTATGTAAAAATAACAAAGAGAAGCTGAGAGAGAGATGAACCATGGTTCATCAATTCACTTCAGTAAGTTAAATTGTACACATATAATAGCTAACATTTACATGTAATATTGAGAGGGAGTCTAGTAGAGCAGATGGAGAACCAGACTAAGGTTGAGAAGACCTGAGTTTCAGTCCTGCTGACAACAAACCACTGATTGTGTGACCCATGGCAAGTCATTTAACCTTTTAGTGTTCTTGGGATCTCTCTACAACTATTGTGGTAGAAAACCAACCCACATTGGAAGAGGGATTTGCCACTCGGGAGTTCCTATAACAAAGAAATCAAAGTTCCTGTCACCATCTGTGTGAGTATGTGTGTATGCATGTGCACATGCACACACATGAACATGCATGCTGTCTCAAAGTTCTTTGTGCACTTTTAAGCTATTAAAGTTTACTTAAACTATAAAAGCTATTTAGGCTACTACAGCTTAAAATTGCATGAAGACTTTTGGGACACCCTGGAGATATATATATATAGGATATATATAGAAAATTTGCCAGAATGGTAATAGAAAGTTGCACTTTTTTTCCTCCAGTTCTTTTTCCCTTAAAAAAAAAAAAGTAGAAGCAGCTAGGTGGCACAATGGACAGAGCTCCAGCCTTGGAGTCAGGAGGACCTGAGTTCAAATGTGACATCAGACACTTGACATGTACTAGCTGTGTGACCCTGGGCAAGTCACTTAACCCCATTGCCTAGCCAAAAAGCAAAAAAAAAGTAAAGACAAACTCAAAAGCTTCAAGGATATTATTAGTAGCAAAAACAATCAGAATATGAAGATCACCTTCTTTTACACTTTGAACCCAGTTAACTTTCCTTACTCTGTCTGCCATCTGGTAGTGTGAGAGCTAACAGCTCCTACTAGATCTGGGTCCAAAAAGGTCAATGTTAATGAAGCAATTTGTATTTCTCATCTAGAAATTGCTCAAAATTTCAGCACTCTGTAACATTTTACCTTTTGTTATTTATAATACTTTTATTTAATACTAATTTCTTATTTTTTAGGTCATTTTGTTTGATTCTAAGCTTAATTTATCCATTATCACCAGATATTTTCCTTCCAGCTAGATAAGCTACAAACCTACCCATCATGTACAATCAATACCACTTTTCATAAAAATAAAAAAAAAATTCTCATTCCATCTCCCTGAATATTCTATTCTAGAATCTGTTCAGTCCCATCTGGTTTAAGACCCAAGGGATTTAATCAATTTTTAACCCTAGGTATCTATCTTGCTGTGTTAATGTCCCATCTCTGTGCCTGAAGGCTTTACTCCAGATTTAAATGATAAATTTAAGTGTACTCTGTCCCACTGAACAGACTACAGGGTGACTAGTCCACCCAAATAAATGAGGGCATAAAGTAATGCCCTACAAGTAGCTACAATGGTTAGTCTCCAAGCCCTTTCATAGTTTAATTTTTTTTATAATTTCTACAAAAACTATATGAAAACTACCTATTTAGAAAGAAAAAACTGTTCCCTCTGTGATGCAAATTAAAATTACTAAGTAAGTCATTGTAGGTAAACAGAATGTCTAAGGTGTAGAGAAACTCATAGTGAAATAGAATCAAAATATAATTTTTTTCTTTCAATTTTAGTAATATAGTTAAGATTAGAAAGTCATATAATGGGTCAATTTGGACAACTATTTTAAAAAATATTTTATATCCTTTAAAAAGTAGGATGTTTATATGACCTCTCTTCTTAACTCCAGTACTTTATTTGTATCTGATATGCATGTACCTATCTTTTATAATTGATTAGCATTTTAATTGCCAAAGAGAACTTATTCTTTAAAAAGTAATGCTGAGCTTCTTCTCTGCCAATGTTTATGTCACTAATTTTAAATCACTTAGTAAATAATCCTTTGTTCTAAAAAGTCTCCTATCTTTGCTCTTTTTTATTCTCATGCTAATGTAGTCTCCTAATAATGCCTAACAAAATCTTGAGCTTTATAGTAACATTCATCTCAGCTTGTGATTTTATATTTTCTCTGGATTTGAATTACATGATTATGTATTGATTTTATTGTCTGGTTAGAATTATGAGATTTAACTTCCAAGGCTCCCCCCCACACACAAAAAAGGACAAGTTTTGCTTTAAGACAACTACTTATATTTACAAAAAGATAGTTATATGATACTACAAGATATAGGAGCATCAATGGTAATGGTTATGAATAGAACAGATTAAAATGCCATGCATGAAATATGATGTGCAAGTCTAAAATGAAATAAACATATGTGGAATGAAGACCACATGGAGTTTTAAATAACTAGTTTTTTGTTAGGATTTTCAAGAATTCAAAATAGGGAGTGGTTGCTACTAAGTAACAAAAAACAACCTTTAGCAACCAGCAAGAAAAAAACTTATTGCTATCAGCCACTTCCACAGTCACCAGTGTCACTAGGCAGATGCCTCTGCTGGCAGGGAGCAGTGGCAGCCTCACTCACACACAGTACTGGTGCTAGGGGAATTGTTTTTGATTTTATGGAAAATTCATTCCTGCTTACCACTTTATTCCCTCTCAGGCTCTAAAACTACAGAATATATTTTAGATATTTGATCTATAATGAGTATAGATGGTCTATTATGCCTATATTTGGTCTAAAATGACTGAAAATGTCAACTCTGCATTATTTAGGGGTGGATTATCTAGTCTATGCATTATCCAAACCCTTTGCCCTCCCCATTTTCTGCTGGCTACGATTATATATTAAGAAGGGAAATCTCACAAAGAAAGAAAACTATGCATATAAGAACCATTTCTGGACTTTATCTTTCTATTTCTAGCCTAATTATGGCAGATAATTGAGAGTTGATTCTTAATACTAAAAAAGAATGTGGATTTAAAGTTTGACAATTAACTATCACATTCTAAATTTTTAAACTTTAAAACTAAGGGACACATATGTTATACATGGATATATATAATACATTCATGTACACATACACATATATGTATAGATTACATCTACACACTCATATATGTATCATTTGTTTCAAAGTTAAAAATCTGTCAGTGTTAGAATTTGAACGAAGATCCAGTGCTTTTGTTTTTGCTGGATTGTTGTTGTTGTTTTTTCCAGAAATCTAGTAATCAAAACAAAAACCAAAAAACTAAGACCAGATCAAATTCTGACACTAAAAAAAAAATGTGTGACTATGAACAAATCATTTAACCTTTCCGATCCTTAGGTTCCTCATCTATGAAATGGAAATAAATCACACCTGTACTATCTGCTTTGCAGTACTGAAAGAAAAGCACTTTGTTATTCTTAAAGTGCAAGAGAATGTGAATGTGAGTAGTTGTTAGTTATTATGGTAACCACTATTAGAGAAACCACTGTACTTGATGTTCTTAGGCCTTAATAACTTCTGTAGATATTTCTTCCTGAGATCATTAACAAAGAGTGTTCCAAAATTCAGTATTGTTTCTCCCATTTAAAAAAGTTTGAGGTAAGCATCAAATCTTTACTACCAAGGACTACACTTCAGAGACTACAAGTCAGAGAGCTAGATTCTAGCCTTAGTTCCATTCCTATTAACTATGTGACCCTGAGCAAGTCCATATTCCTTCTCTGTGTCTCAGTTTTTCTAACTGTACAATCAGGTTTTGGGTAATAGAATCTCTAAGGTGTGCTAAAATAATAACCTATGAATCCACGAGAACCTCTTCCACAACTGAAATCTTAGAAGACAGCAGGTATGTCCGTGAAAAAATCTTTCTCAAGTTGAATGCCTGAAACATCAAGTTTTACCTTCAAGCCTTACCATTAGTAAGACAGGCAGATAATTTTAATTTTAAATTAACATTTTCTTCATTGAATTAAGTGCTAAGCTGCAGATAAAAGCATTATTTATGCTATATAGCTAAATGCAAAAGTGGTAAAATTCTGTAAGAAAAAAATAAGTAAAAATTTTAAAAGGCCCTAGCCTATATTTGCACATGTTCCCCAGAAGCATACCAAACTTGATTGAACTGTAAACGCATACCAGTTACATTAATAGGAACCACATCTGCCTGGACTGTTTGCGCTTGCTGTCTCATCTTCTCCTCTGGTGTTGGCAGTGGAAGTGACTTGGTCCAATTTGTCTGGGTGTTAATATCAGATAAATCATTTGAAGTTGGAGCTCTGACTCCCTTGGTAGCAATAAGTTTTTCTTCCTCTGAGGAATCGACAGAACACTGAAAGAAAAAGAGAAGGGTACATGGCATGTAAATAGTTGAGGAATACAACTTTTAAAATTTTATTTTACTATTTTTTAACCAGAGTCTAACAAATCTGATCTAGTCGAAATAACTGGCAAGGTTGGACACTGAGGGTTCCAAGGAAAACATTCGTACATCTTGAACATTTACCAGTGGTTTTTGTAGTCAGCATCTAAGAAGGAAGTGGTAAACCTCAAAAGCCAGCACAGCTTCATCAATAAATAGATCATGCCTTAATTGAACATATCTCCAACTGTTTGTTTGTTTGTTTGTTTTTTTATTTTGTGCCAGAGATGTGGATGAAGGCAAACTCGATTTGCTTATCAGATCTGCGGGTGACACAAGACTGGGAAGGATAACCAGTGCACTTGGTGACACAGTCTGGATTCAGAAAACAAAAATTAAAAGCAGAAAACTGGACTTCATCTAAGATGTAATTTCATAGGATTAAATATAAAGTCAGGGATTCGCAGAGTCATAGACTTAGAGCTCGATGGAACCTTAGAGAGCATCTGGTACAACCTCTTCATTTTACAGATAAAGAAACTGAGGCCCAGAGAGGCTCCCCTTCACTGGGAAGTCTTTAGGCAAAGGCTTGAAGGATTTGGCCATTTGACAGAAATGTTGTAAAAATTCTTGTTCAGATACAAGTATGACTAGGTTGACCTCTGAAATTCTCTGCAACTCTGAGATACTGTGCTGTTCTTCCGTGGGCCTAGAGAGACAAGCTGATGAAACACTATTGCTTAGGGGTTATATTTTCAATTTTAATAAATAATTCTTGAATCCAGCAAAAAAAAAAAAAACTGTCCATACCACAATTTTTAAGCCTATTCTAATTTGTTCCGGACTTTGGATCTAAGGGCTAGTTCTTATAAGAAACAGCTATTGCAGACCAACCATTCCTGCTCTTCTCAAAACATAAGTAAATAAATATACAGAAACATCAGTGTGAAATTGCTAAAGTATATCAAGCTTTACTAAAGCTTTACTCTGAACCTTATCAGAGCTCTATAGGAAACATTGCTTGCTGCATCGGTTTTGATAAAGATTCACATACTAACAAAATAACCTTCAATGCCCTTCTTCCCACAGCACCTTAAAACGTATTTATTTAAAGGGGGAACTTTTTTGGCAATCCATTGGTGATGAACTTAAATAAAGCCACAGCTTAGCTTTACTCAATGACAAGAAGACACTGCAGACTCATCAAAAATAGATGCTGTAGGGGTCAAGCAACTTTGCTTTTGTGGGAAACTAGATAGTAACTGAATAGAAACTCCTCTAATAAGGCATTCAAAATGCACTCTCTTTTAAAAGTCTATTTTGATCCATTTCTAATTTCATTATAACATTTTGTGAGGAAATATGAAATATAAGTTGTAGAAAAACTGTTATGATATTATTGTTATCATCATCATCATCATCATTATTTAAAATAGGTAGTGGTGATTGCTTGCCAATTACTAAGGTTATTTTACCATTTAAATTACTTTACTTACTCAGACAACAATAATAAAGATAAGCCCTGACATTCAAATAGTGCTTTAAAGCTCACATAGCTAACTTTGTATCCATTTTCTTTTCTCATTTGATTCTTGAAACAATCCTCTAAGATGAATAGTGTAGGCATACATTTTATAGATGAGAAAACAAGGTCAAAGAAATAAAGTGACTTGATCAAAGTCATGCAACCAGCTGGGGAATGCCTGACCAGGACTCAGATCCAGGTTATTATGGTCCCAAGTGCAGTATTCTACTACATTATGACAACTCAGCTCAATAAAATTTGAAAAACAGCACTAAAGTCACAATAAGAAGACAATAGTATAATGGAAAGAACATTGCATGACAAGTCAGAAGATCTATTCCTTGGCTTCACCTCTGCCACTTGCTCTTCCTATGGGCCTTGAGTGGGTCACTTAACTTTGCTGAGCCTCAGTTTCATCATCTGCAAAATGGGAGTAAGAATGCTCACTCTATCTCAAAAGGCTATTGAGAGCATTGAATGATATAACATAGGCATGTTACAATACAAATATAACATAGGCATGTTACAATACAAACTTAATGTACTGTCATTATAACAGAAAATATATTCCTGAAAAAATAGAACTGGTACATAGGTATATAAGTATACATGTGTTACATATATGTGTATATATTTAGTGGATGATAGTAGCAAAGGCATACTAAAATCTGAATATTCATTAGTAAATCCCAGTATAGTTGGCTCAAGATATCCCTCTTATAAACTATTTTTAATTGAGTTCCAGTTTCTTTTATTTTTAAGGCACAACAAAGAAAGTGGTATGTGACTTTTTTTAATGGCATGGACAGGTCTAAAGAATAAGAACATCAATTTAAAAACAGGTCTCACTAATATTACTATATTTGTCCTTTTTAAATTTGTCTGTCATTATAATTAAGATGATTCAAATTTGAGGCCATTCTAATCAAACTGTGGTAGTTGGCAATGATGATTGAAAGGCAGATGGAAACTGAAGCATAAAGATGTATCAGAGATGCTCAGCCTCTTTTGGAGAAGACATCCTATTGTCTTTCTCTGCAAACATTTCTACCCCTACCCACACCCTAACACTATATATCCCAAATAGAGAGATATAGAGATATATGCATAAAGATATGTATATGTATTCACACATACATATATACATATATGCATATATTTAAAAGACCTTGGATAAATCATTTAATCCTTCTTGAGCTCAGATTCCACCTCTATAAAATGAGTATATAATCTCTAAGATCTTTTCCAGCTCTACATCTATAATTCAGTGGAGATAATTGGATTCATGTTTGGATGTAGTAAAACCAGGAATGGGATTGACAATTTATCTGTCTCTCAAATGAGTCACTTTTCAAGGTAGTGGGAACCCTCTAATTATAACTGGAAATAAGGTTAGATACTTTTACTCAACTTATCCTAAAAAATGAAGTTAAGATAACTTTATAATGGGGTCTAATATGATGGTTTAAAAAACCCAAATATTAACAAAATAAGGTTTGCTTTGTTGTTTCATTTTAAATGGAAAGAAAGCAAAGTATTCAGGTGATGAACAATCCTATTCTCTATTACAAAAAAGTTTCTCTTTTTTGTTCATTTTTGGTGAAACACTGTTCTGCCATTGTGTGTTTCAATGCTGGTGATAGACCCCAGTAACCTACTTTTCCCTTGATAGTGTCAGAATTGATAACTGTCACAATGAAACAATACTATACTGTATACCTCAGCTTCCATGAGGCAGTCACCAGGGAGTGCATCAATATGACAAATGACAAAGATAATACATTTTCTAAAGCTCCATATACTCTTCTGAGAAAATATCCCAGGCAAGTAAAGCTCAGATAATAGTTAATGCAAATGGAGAAATAAGTCAGTGCCATGATCCACTATTTACCAACCTCTATATTCAGTGTCTTTCTTAAAACATGACATCCACTTCAGAATCATTACCTTTTGAGATGACTCCCTCTCTACTAACTGTCTGTGAACTCTTCACATCCTCCCCAGCCTCACCTTTCCAGTGTCTACATCTTCCCATGCCTTCCTAATACATTTTGTGTCTAGAAATCCATTCTATGGTCACAAATTAGTGAACCTCTTCACTTCCTATTCTTCCATATTCTTTCCACCCTCCTGTACCAAGAAAAACCTTGCTCTCTTCAGAAGAAAATGAATCTTTAACCATTGTCTCTAATATTAATGCTCTCCTCATTCCTGTGAAGCCTTAAGTCAAGAAGAGTAGGCATATCTTTGCTGCTTATTCTCACTTTCAAACAATTCCTTTGACTCATAACTCAGCAACCTGCTCTCCTTTGAGGATTACTTCATTGATGTTTATTACCAACATGTACACTTAAATCCAATGACAATGGCCTTTTGGCAATTTCACAAACAAGACACTCCATCTCTCAGCTCCAGGAATTTTCTCTGGCTGTCCCCCATGCCTGGAATACTCTCCCACTTCCACTCTGCTTAATGACCTCCCCAGTTTTCTTTAAATCCCAATGAAAATCCTTTCTTTTACTGGAATCCTTCCCTAAAACCTCTTAATTCTGGTACCTTCCCTTCATTAATTATATCCTATTTTCTTTAATCCTGTATATAACTTGCTTTGTTAGCATGTTATCTCTCACATTAGATTGTAAGTTCCTTGAGGGCAGGGGTTATCTTTTGTCCTATTTTTTTTTATCCTCAGAGCTTAGCACAATGCCTAGCAAACAGTAAGTACTTAAAAAATGTTCATTGACTGACACATTATCCAATCTTTGTTGAAGTTATCTACTAACCTAAAGGTTATTCTTTATCCTTTTTCAAGGGGTTCAGGTCTTGGATCCTACTCTTCTTCTCTACCCCAACCTCTGACCTCATAGTAGAGAAATCAATATACATGGTAACATCTTCTCAAACACTCTGGCCTCTTTACTCACCAACCTCTTAAATGTCAATGAACCCCATCTTTACCCCACTTCAACCGCATGACCACAATCTGATCATTATCCATAACTGTTCTACCTCAGTATTTCAGATCTCTGAAATTTCCCTCTCCAATTCCATCCTCCTAACCTTCACTGTCACCTTCAACCTCATTCCTCCTAACCTACTAATCATACTTTCCATGATCTCTCCAGTCCTTCTCATTTTCCTAATCCATCTCCCCTGTGGTAGTCTCACTTTCTACCCTTCAGTATTTACCCTATAGCTGAAAAGTTCAACCATATACCATCAGCTAGCTTGAATAATTTGTTCATTTGTCCTATTTCCAGTCAGGCCCTGCAAAGCATCAAGTCTGGATTACCCGCAATATCATTCTTCTTTGCTCCTACTTTATATGCTGTTGATTGCTGCTAGAAAAAGTAAGGCAACTGTGTTGACTGAATTCACTATAAATTTATGTTATCTAATCTCAACAGGGCTCTAACTAATATAGGGAAACCCTTTTTTATTCCTG